GGACAGCTTCTACAGTGCTTTCCCCTCCAACTGTTGCAGGTCCTCCAACTTGATCCAACTGGGATCCCTGGGCTGCTGAGTATGGGGGTCCCAGTCCCATGCCTAGGTAGTTTTTTTCACCACAAAGCCACCAGCCATGCATGGCTTTTCCTGTAGAGTGTCCCTAGAGCAGGGTATCAGCTCAGCATGGCCCTGTGGGTGCCAGTAAAACAGACAATGCATTGTGCAGGGGGGTCATCTTTCTGGTAGCACAGTGAGGTCAGAGATGTGCAGAATCCACCCAGGACACAGAAAGCCTCAGGGTCTCCTGCGGCTCTCCTCATCCCTGCATCCCAATGAAGCAATGTGCCCAGGACCAGTCTGGGAGTCTCCTGTGGTTCCTCAGCATGTTCCAGACCATTTATATGCTGAGGTCAGTGCTGGTGGCATGACACATCCACGGCAAAGTCCCCTCCAAAATGAGGGGCCTGGACCATTGACCTCCCTGGCAAGTCCTCAGGTAAACCAGTGCCTGGCACTTTTTTGGCTGGTGCAGCTTCTGCGTGGCCTAAGAATGATCTCCCAGGGTTCTTTCTGACTCACAGGACAGGAAACATTTCAGGGTTTAAGCCAAGCTGAATAATATGCTCATTTCCTTGTGCAGACTACAAAGCACCTGCTCCAGGGGATTTATGGAGTGCCGGCCTCTCGCAGTCACTATGCGGCTGCCTGCTCGGATGTTTTTATTTTCCTGGTATGGCCAGCAAGTGCCAAGGCCTGTTTTCCTAAACACCCCGTGACCTCCTGGCACGTTTCCTTGAGGGGAGCCCAGGCAGAGCCATGGGCTGCAGCACACCCGTGCTGGGATACCCAGGGTGCTGGAGAGCCAGGGTGGGTGCTGGCACTCCGGGCTGAGGGTAGCAGGAGCGCATGGCTGACCCACTGATGCCAAAACCCGGCCTGATGCAGAGCAGCCACAGCTATGATAAATGACCTGGGAAAGTGCCAGAGCAATGGGGCATGGGCATGAGCAAGGAAGGATGAAACCATGCAAGAGAGGGCAAGAGGGCATGAGAACCCAAGCGAGCCACAGCATGAGACTGCCCAGGACGTAGAGCCCATCCCATGGCTGGGGACCTGCAGGTCCTGTCCCATGACAATGAACCCACACACCCCCTCCAACCAGGGCTGTAGAGCCTCAGTGAGATGCTGTGCCGAACCTCTGGGGTCAGAACACCTCTCCCCTGCAAGGAGGGTCAGGGTGTGGGTGCTGAGGCCAGGGACACCCATGGAAGACACAAGGCATTCCAGCATACCTTGCAGCCCATGCTTTTCCTCCAGCATCAAGCTTCATTCAGCAGGCAGCCAATCTGCAGAGTAAGGAGACATCAAGTTTTTCTCACATCCCCTCTCTTTTGTCCCCTTTTTGAAGCAACAGTCTCATTGCTGGTGGGGCTGTAATCCAGCCTCTGTCAGCTATCCCATCTGGCTTGCCAGCTGTGGAATGAAGGTCGCCAGGAGCCAGCTGTCATTCTCTCTCTTCCTCACCCCTCTGCTCACTTCTCCCCAGGGTCTGGCCATGCCAGTGAGCAGAGAGCACTCAGGAGTGGTCATCACTCAGAGCTAGCATTTATCTGTACCTGCCCTGGTGCCCTGGGTATTCTGATGCTTGAAGCATCCTCAGGGTGCTGGTTAAGGAAAGATGCCCACATCCCAGAGCTGCCTCGGGGTCCACAGCAGCACTCACATAGTTTGGTTCAGTGATTGATTTGGGTTGTGGATTTTTTTTTTTGGTTGGTTGGTTGGTTGGTTTTGTTTGTCAGGATTTTTGTGGGGGGGATTGTTGTTGGTTTTTGTTGGGTTTTTTTAATTTTTTTTTCTTTTTTTTGTTTAGAGAGAAAATAAAATACCTTTGGGGAGCAGAAGCCAAGCTCCCCAGTGCCTAAAACAGCAATCACAGCACTTCCTTGGATTTATGGTGTTTGCTTTCACAATGCCAGCCGGGATCCTGTTTGCTTCCTGCTCTGCAGCTGCAGCCCCAGCTGAAGGCTCAGGAGATTCAGGTTTTATAACCCTCCTGGATTCTGCTGATGGCAATTTGTCCAGCTTCATTTATTATCCCCTGAGCCTCCTGTGGCTGTTGTCACCTCACCCCAGTACCACTGTCTTGAGTGCTCTGCCTTCCCCATCCATGGGGTCCCATCCCTGGCACTGGGCATTCCACTGCTCTGCAGAGGGAGTTCTGGGAGAGAAGGCCAGCAGAACTGTGCCCTTGGTGGGGTGTAGCACCCAGCTTTTCTCAGACACAGCTACAACCTGAGAGCCAGGCCAGGCAGGAGAGCTGGGTCCTGCTGGGAGGATGCTGAGACATGGATGTGACCTTCTGTGGGATCCTGGGATACTCAAAGGCACACACATAGACAGGCAGTGATCCCTTCTGTTGGGTTCTGTTGGGTAAATCAAAACGACTGAACTTCTAGAGGGGCACTTCTACCAGCCCCTTTATCCTTTCTGTGGTTCTTTCTCAGGTCTCAGTTGTTCCCCAAGATGTGAGACCAGAAGTGGCTGTTTTCTTTCAGTCTCGCTCAGGCAGCAAAATCTCTTCCAGGCTGGCACAGCAGGAGAGGGTGTCAGCTCCTCCTGCCATGGCACCCCTCAAGAACCCAGGCAGAAGCTCTGAAGCACCAAGTCCAATTTCAAGTACTGCTTTCCAAATTTTGAGCCCTCTCCTGTACAGCCTGGAATAAAATGCTCTGGATCAGCCATGAGGATGTGTGTGCAGGGGACATGTGGGTGCTGAGGAATGAAAAAGTGGGGGAAGGAAAATGGTCAGGAGGGGGAATAGCAGGATCAACAGGCTATTTGGGACCACCAGCCCCTTTCCTTATGCACAGCCACAGGGTGGATGATGCTCAACTGCCCTGGTCCGTCTGCAATGTGCCAAGAGGTATCCTGACACTCCTCTTTTTCTCTGCATTTTCCCAGCAAACTACTTTGATGAAAAACTCAATGGCCATGAATGGTCTCATAGCTTTAACCCTCTATTTAATGAACCATAATGGCTTATATAAATCCTGAGAAAGCCTCTCCATGTCCTTAACAGAGCAGGGGCAATGCCCTTCCACACAGCCAAGAGATGCTGTCACCCCAGGTTTTAAGCACTCTTCTGGAAGCCTGTCCAAATCCCGTGGGCCTCTGAGTGAAACCCACCACTTCTTTTTTTTTAACATTTGCTGCTCTTGTTGATGAAACAATGATGGATTATTTCATTGCCGTTACTAGCATGCCAGACTTCTTTTTCCAAACACACAATAGGAATATTAATTAACTGCTCTGACGCTGAATGCTTTTATCCTCCTTATATAGTAAGAACTCTGAATGTGCAAAGGGAATGCAAAATGCACCAAAGGGAAGGTTCCATTTGTCACAGATACACTCCACCATCCCACCTCATAGCCCAGCTGTCAGCAGGGTGTGCCCAGCATTTCTCTGATTTGTTATCAGCCTTTCCCAACAGATCCCACACTCGCCGCCATCCAGCCGCCCCACTGAGGGACACAGCAGCATCCGTGGCACTACAACAGGGCTGGGGTAATTTTCTAGGGGGAAAAAGGGATGAAAAGCCATGGCTTCTCCCTCAGCAGTGAGAGCACAAGCTGCAGGAGATGGATGCAGTGGGATGGCAAACGGGTCCAGAGCACCAAAGGGTAGGGACTATGCCTTCAAATCTGAAGTTGGTGAATCCAAAGCGGATAAAGAGGATAAAAAGAAGCAATTTTTTTCTCTCTCTTTGTGCTTAATTATACTGCCACAGGAAAATGCTCAGGCCAAAATTTAGCAGGATTCAATGAGGGATTGGGCACTTACAGGGATAAGAAAAATATCCAGCTATAATAGTGAATGCCAATACAAATTCTGGAAGGGATATTAAGCCTCACGCGTCAAGGTGTAAATTTATCCCAAACTCTCAGAAAGCAAGGAGCTTAATACAGGGGCAGATGACCCACATATGCCACTGCTGCTGATGCTGCCTCATTGCCAGCACAGCCCTGCGCTGGCTGAACCCCCAGCTGGACCATCCCCAGAGCCCTGTTTCCTGCTGCTGGCAGCACCTCTGACAAGGGCTGTGAATTTCTTTTGGCAAGTTAGCCCTTTGCTTGTAGCTGTCCCTGGCCATGTGGCTCCCAGGGCTCTGACCTCCTCCCTCTTGCACATCTGCTCACCTTGCCAGCTGATAACAGCCTTATTACTACTACACAGAAGCAGCCCTTCTGGGTGAGAGTCCGTGAGGTCCACAGGCACATCCCTGGGTGATGTGGATCCTTCCCACAGGTCCTTGCTTCCAGCCAAGTCCCCCACTTACAACTCAGGTTACTTGTTGCCCAAAAGCACTTTCACCTCCCGATTTTATCCCTCCTGTTTCCTGCCTCTGCTGGGGCCAGTCTGCAGCCTCTGAAAGAGGATGCTCAGCTCTGGTACCTTATGGCTGTTCCAGGTGCACAGGCAGAGTCCCCTTTCACAGGCACTGCTCAGGTGAGCCCTGGTTCTTTCTCTCCTGTTCTGCATCAGTGGCAGCTGCTGTACTGTCTGCTCTGGTCACAGCACCAAATCTGTCAGAGCTCAGTAAGTGTTTGGACAACGGTCTCAGGAACATGCTTGCATTCTTGGGGTCCTGTGCAGGGCCAGGACACAAGACATGGTGATCCTGATAGGCCCCTTCCAACTCAGCATATTCTATGATTCTGTGATTTTAAACATACCCCAGCCCATGCATGGCCATGAACCTGGCATGGCTGCAGCTCAGGCTGGGGTGAAAGTGCCATGATTTGGTACCCAGGAGCTGGGTGCAAGCACCTCCATCCCCAAATGAGGATGGTGCCATTTGCATCCCACACTGTTAGCAGGATGCTTGTGCTGCTCTCCTCACTGTGAGATGGGATGCTCCCAAAACTGGCTTGCTGTGAAGGAGCAGTGACGGCTCAGCATGACCAAAGAGCCTGGAGCTCTGGTCAGGAGCCAGGGTCTCCCGTGCTTGCTGCTTACGTGCTCACCACGCTGCAGAGGGCAGCGCTGCTGGGGACCTTTGGATCGCCCTTCACTGTGAAGCCTTGTACCCACAGGGGCTTCCAACTGGAGAAATTTCTGGAGGGCATGAATCAGCTTTTCACAGCTTGTTAAAAATCTTGATCCTACCTCTTGTTTTCATGCCTTTCAAATCAGGAAATGAGTTTTACAACTTTTCCAGTGGGGCACAGCTGGTGGCCAGGGTCGTAAAGCTGAACTTTATAAATATCTCTCATTTGGATCAGGGGAAGAGCATTAAAAAGGCAGAGAGAGAGAAAGAGAAAGAGAAGGGAAAGGAGCAAAGGCAATAGAGAAGCAAAGCAAAAAAGTCCAGCTTAACCATCCATGGCCATGCAAGCACAGAAGATGAAGTGTGCTTGGGGCAGGCTTTGCCTGCTTCTTTCCCTCCTTCTCCAGTTGCCGGGCTCCCAGGCCAAATGCTACTTCCAGGCTAAAGGTAAGTGGGGAGGTGAGATGGGAAAAGATTGATGGAAGAGGAGGCCTCAGCTTTTCCAGCATGGCAGGGCTCTGCCCTATGCCTGAGAAGTATGGAAGGGAAAGTGCTGAGCTCAGGAATGGGATCATGGGCCAGTGGTGAGTAGAAGGAGCAGTCTATAAACCACTGAACTGCTCCCCAGGGCTCTGGCTGAGAAACAGCTTTCTGGGCCATGAAGGCTCCTGGCAGGAGCCTGGCTGGGGCCAAGTGTGCAGGACTAGTAGGAAAGGGAGGAGGGAAGCTCATCACCCCTCTGTTGTCTCCTCCCAGGGCTGCAGAAATGCCCAAACTCTAAGGGGCACTGGATTTATCCTCTCCAGGGAAGAGGCACTTTCTTCTTGCTCTAGACCCTAATGGGGTAGTGGTGAGAGCCACAAGGCAGGGCCAGGAGAGGATGGATGGGTACATCATTCATGGCAGATAACAGGGCATTCCATACCATCAGGACAGTGGATAGACCACCATATATCTCCCATACCATAAGATGGGTGAGAAGTCATCATGACACTTCTGTGCCCTCTTTCAGGGCACAGGGGTATCTAGGAGGCTTCCACTTGCCCTCAGCAGAGGTCCATGTGTTCTCATCACCACTGTTTCCTTTGCAGCTCCCTGTGAGTACGAAGGGAAACAGTTCTCCCTTGGGGAATCATGGCTGAGCACCAACTGCCTGCTCTGCACCTGCCTGCACCCCGTTGGCGTGGGCTGCTGCGAGACGTGAGTGAGGGGCCATGCTGGGGTGGGCTGTGACTTCCCACCATAGCACCCCTGCATCTGCAGCAGGAGGTGTCTGGTGGCTGCAAAGGCAGCAGATATCAGTCTTGGGAGGGCTGTGGGGCACTGTGTCCTGTGGAACAGGAGGCAGCGGTGGGCAGGACCCCCAACAGGGCATTGAGGGTGGTGGGGTGAGTTGGGGCACTTGGAAAGGGTGTCTCGGCTTAGCAAGATGCCCAGATATGCCAAGAGGCAAGTCCCAGCCTGCCTGAGCTGGTCTGGAAGACATCCTGTGCAGGGGGCTGGCAGCAGGAAGCCACCCAGCCCCGCCAGCAGCCCGGTGATCAGGGAATCTGATGGCACTGTGTCCTCTTCCACAGCACCCAGCACCCGATCGACTTTCCTGACTGGTGTGAGGCCCACTACGACTCACAGACCTGCCAGATCTCGGTAGTGCAGAAGGCTAACCCCAGCCTGCCGTGCGTGAAGAGCGTGGAGCACGAGTGGGGCTCGGCCGGCACCCCCGAGCCGCTGGTGAACAAGGTGCTGGGTGCGGGGCTGAGCAGATAGAGAGGCTCGGCAGCGCCCCGCGCCCGCCGGCGCCGCCCTCCCCCCTCCAGAGCACACTGCCCGCATGCTCCAGACCTGTCCCACACACCCTGTAGAGGCATCACCGCCGGCACATTCGAGGGAAACCACTATCCACACACCATGGTACCAAGCTTTGCTTCTGCCTTCAGCTTCCTGAACCAAGGCGTCCTCACTGTGAGAAGTTCTGCACACCGTGGAAAAGCAGATTCTACAGGATCTCCTCCCAGGTGGGCAGGAAACCTACAGTGACTAAAAAAAGGCTACAGGACTAAATCAGCCTGCTCTATGGCAGTCCTACATTCCCATCTCCAGCCACAAGCAAAGCAGCTCCCTGCTCCCTCCCAGACCTCTACTCCTCTGCATAGCAGCCATGGGGAGCTCACTGGGGATACCATGGCACCTCGTGCAGGACCCCCACACCCTGTCCAGCCCCTTCTCTGGTCCCGGAGAGCAAGGGGCACAACCCACCTCTGGAACCACTAATGCCCCCGCTCCAAAAGCTCCTGGGGTCACTGGCACTGTAGGCCAGCCCTGGGCAACACTACAAGAGCCAGCTCGGGGTGGGTGGCAGAACAGGATGTCCCCAGGGGAGACCCCCATTCCCACTGGCAATGGAGCAGGATGGGGAGGTTCAGGAAGCAGAAGCAATCCAAGTGCCAGGGTGAAGGCAGTCACCTTGGCAGCTGCCCCAGCTGGTGCCATGCCTGTGTTGTGCAGAGCCTTGTGTAGATGTTTCTGTTCTTGCAATAAAGATACTGAACAAAGAAGTCTCAAGCCTGTGACTGATGTAGAAGGTGGTATATGTCCAACACCAGTAACAATATAGGACTAAGGCTCTTGGGAAAGCTGAGTTTTGCACATTCAGATGTTTATTACATTTCCATGCAGAGAGGAAAGCTCAATAGAAGGCTTAGTAAAAATGGGGAGCTAGCTGTTGAGCAGGGAGATCTCCATGACAGCTTTTGGATGCACAGCATGCATTCCTTACAGCCCCCCAAGGATCCAAAGACCAGCAGGATGCCTTCATACCCAGGAGCCCAGGCAGACAACAGCCCAGGGGCTCAGTGCTGCTCAGTTTTGAATCATCATGACCGTACTGACACAGCCTGGTCACCATCCTGGTCACCAGCACATGCCAGCAGCACATGTCTGGCCAGCCAGAACCTGCCTCCTCCAGGTGGGGGTGGCTGGAGCACTGGACTCTGTGTGTGGGACAAGTCTCCAAGAGGCAGGACACATGCCAGAGCAGGAGAGCAGGCTCTCACCCAGCCTATGTGGCCACTATGCTCCACCTGGATGCCTGATCTCTGCTTGTAGGGTCTCTGCAAGGGCACAGCCTTCACCCAAGGGTGGTATGAAGCTTCACTGGAACAGCCCCCTTCTCCCCTCCCTGGGCTGGGCCTTTTCTTCTTGGAAGCTCCATATGGTATAAAGGCACATCAGTGGTTTCCTGGGAAGGCAGATTTCTTTTTGCTGAGTGCTGAGACTTGCACCTTTACCCAGGCAGGAAGGGTCCAGCTCCAGACTGCATCAAGCAGTGTTCTTCCACCCATGGACAGGACATGCTTGGTGCCCACCTGAGCACCACAGATGAATCCAAGAGGACACTGGGATGTGTGCACCACAGCACACCGGTGACAGTCCTGCCTGCCATTCCACTGGCGGCACACACTTGCAGCTCTACAGGCCAACAACCTCTCCCTACTTCAGATGGTGATGGAGTTAGTACTGGAGAACTGAGATACGTAGGAAGCCAGGATGGGGTTGGTGGGAAGAACTTTGATGGGCAAGTCCCAGCTGAAGGTGTCCACTTCCATCTGCTCCACCCCAGTCCAGGTGACAGCCTCCGACTGGCTCCCACGAACCAAGCAAGTCCCTGCTGACTCCCCAGAAGTCACAAACTCAAAGTGCAGCCTCCACTTTAGGGACACTGTGGGCAAGAGGATGGTCAGCATGTAACACCCACAAGGGTCATGGACAGCAGCTGTTTCAACACTGTCTGTCCTGATATGGGGACAGCAAATGACCCTACTCACACAGACCAGCCCCCTCCCAAGGGATACACCTCTGCTGAGCAAGGGCAGGGCTGGGGACATCACCGTCCTCCTGCAGAGACAAGCAGGGGTGGGTCCCTTCCCTGGTGGGTACTAACCAATGTTGGTGGTGAATCCTGGGGTTGAGCTGAGTGGGATGGGCAGGCTGAAGCTACTCTGTGCCGTGTGCAGGCAGGACTCCTGATGACGGGCATGCACGGTGAAGGACACAGGCTGTCCCCGGCGGCGCTGGAACTCCTCCTGGATGCTCTCCTCTGTCTGCAGGCTCACTGAGAACTACAGGGTGATTAAAAGGGTGCTTGCTCTCACAACCTCATACACAGCTCATGCAAAGCCTGGGGGCTTCATTTCCCAAATAAGCTCAGGACTGAACCATTGTCTGCCTCACACTTCAAGAAGAACCCAGCTGGGTCCACTAGAAACTCTCACAGCCCAGTGCCACCCCAATGCCTTCTCCCTATCCCTCACCTTAAACCTCTGCCTCCCCCCAGTAATCCCAGAGACAGCAATGACCTGCAGACATGGGATATCTCCTTCTGAGAAGTTGAAGGTCCCAATGACATCCTCTCCAATCTTATATACAGTCTTAAAGATGCAGAACGTCCCCACTTTCCCACGAGTGTTGCTGATGTTATACAGATCTGTGGAACAAGAAGAGAGGTAAGGGTTGTGGCAGGACAAGGCTCTACTCTGTGCAGTGCTCTGAGTTAATGACATGACTCCATGCCTCCAAACTCCTGTTTGGCTGTGAGGACAGTCCCTAGAAGTGGTACTCCCTTTGGGAAATTTCTGCAGTGAATAAGGCCAAACCCTCCATTGGCTGTGTTGTGCTGGGCAGAGGGTCTCTCGGGCTGAAGCAGAAACAGCCCGAGACTGGCTAGGAGGCCCTGACCCAAGCAGGCCCTTACAGAGCTGCTCCACAGCCATAGTTGGAGCTTTACTTTGTCAGTGAGAGATAGTTAGTTTGCAGCTGGTCCTCAGATGTTCTCCATGACCAGCTTCTCAGGAAGGATAGCAGGTTTGAGCAAGGAATATGACCTACGCAGGCTGCGTCGGGAGGTGGCCACCATAAGCAGTTCTGTCGCTAGGTCTGCCAGGCGCGAGTCCTTCTTCAAGCTCTCCTCTTCCTCCAGAAAGGGGTTTGAGGGTGCAACAGCCTCATCCTGTGGGAACTGGTAATCCTTGAGGCCTGGGAAGAAGGTAAGAGTATGAGCAGGGCAGGGTGCAGCCTGGCCCACCTACCTGCGCAGGGAAGACAGAGGGTGGCCTTACCGTGCAGCACAAGGACACGGAAGGGCACGCGCAGCAGCTTGATGGGGGAATTGACGCGCTGGCAGCCGATGGTCAGCTTGTACACGTACTTCACAGACTGCCCCCGAAAAGAGGGGGGGCCATCCACAGGCAGTGTCTCACAGTACGAATCTGCAAGGGGTCCAGAAAATTTGCTTTCTAAGGCTGGAAGGAAGATCCTGCTGCTGTTGTGTGCAGGCTCCCTGCACCAAGTGTTACGACCAGCAGTGCTGAGCTAGAGACAGTGCCTGGTGTTTTCTGCTGTCTCCTCTTTCCTCCAGCAGCCAAGCACAACCCGGCTCCCCTGCACCAGGCACACTGCTCCTCTCATCACATGCACCATCATCCAGATATTGTTTCCAGCACATACAACCACACACACAAACTCTGCCTCCAAAGAATGTGAAATATGTAAAATCCAGGAATACAACCATCAGAGCTAAACTTACTCATCACGAGTTCAACCCGAATTTGCCTCTGTGCACTCCTTTGCCCAGTGCTCTCACAGCACAGCCTCCTCCAGGCCCTGCCTCGTGTGGGTACTGGTCAGTACTTGATGCCTCTTTTGCTTTTGCTTTACACAAACCCTCAAACTCAACAACAGGTGAGCTTCCACTTGTGTTTTTATTTGAAGGACTGCAGCTAAATTATCAAGAAACAATTCTGAGACCTTCACAACAACCTGTGGTTTGTCGTTTGTCCCCCTTGACAAGCTGATGATTTAGACCACAAAGCCTCCAACTCTGAGGGCTCTGAGATACTGGGGTCTGGCCTTCCCCACATTCAGCCCTCCAAGAGCCCCTTGGCCACCACACAAACCCCAATGCCTCTTGACACAGTGTGAACACTTCTGCAGCTTTCGCAAACCGCATGCTGTATTACAAGAAAGACATAAACAGTGAACTGTGGAAAGTCTCCACCTCTCTGGCTTGCCCACTGTAATGCAGATACGCCCTGCCAGAGGAAGGGTAGCATCCTGCTCTGAAACCACAGATCCTTCCCCATGTCTGGCACAAACTGAATGTTGAGGCTTAGATTAAAAGTTAGGGTTACATTTTAAATATAACTGCTGGACTTAAAATAACAGGACTGGAAGGAAGAAAAAAGCCTGTGCTAGTATGTAGTGTTGACAGGATGTCACACCTTAAAACATAAGCCTCTCTTTCTGGACCAGGCTGCAGATAAAGCAGAGAACTATCCTGAGAGGGAGGAAAATCAGGTAATTCCAAGGAAAGCAGCAGACTTCTGTAACCTCTGTACCAGACTCAATAAGAGTGCTCACAAAGACCTTCATGTCCAGTGAGGATAATCTGAGCAGAGACCACCACAGTCAGAGGAGGATGGACAGCTTGCTACCTGGCACAGGAATGCCAAGACTCAGGAAGTTCCAGCTTCCATGCATATCCCAGAAGGAAGCGCATTCCTGGTGCTACAAATGCCTTCCTTACCCACTCGCTGTGCCCTCTGGCTGGTCTTCTGGCCTGTGTCCAGGCTGCTTCCATTTCCTCCACTCTCTGTGCTCTACCAAATATTTAAAGGTATTACAAAACCAGAGTGGAGGCAAAACAGCCACAGAAATTATTTGAGGACTTGAGAAAAAGCTTCATGGTGACAAATTTAAAGAGCTCAGCCTGG